CTACTTCAGTTTGCGAAACGAAACGAAACATCATCAGCTCAGTGCAATTTGCGAAACGAAATCATATGGCTACATCTGTTTGCGAAACGAAACAACAATAGTGTTTTATGGAGTGGAAAACAGCAACAAAAGATAGCAAATCCCAATCAAAGTGCATGCAATTTTTTTTCGCTTTGTTCCGTTTTGCATTTCACAAACTGCAGTACGCAATGTATATAGGCATGTTTTATAGATGAACCTAATCGTCTTGTAGTGTCTCTAGGCTGTAAAACATCTATTGTTCGTAGTGGATCACCACTTGATGTTAGTGTCAATCACTATTGGAATACGTTTGGTTACTTGGACCAGTAGTGTTTTAACAAATCCTTAATGCAATATCGAGGTTTAAAAAACCATTAGAATTAAACAATGTTAATATTTCAGTGACTCGACCAACTACTTGTGRTATTTACACGTGCAGGCATCATTTAAGGATGAATCTAGTATCCTGCATGACTTTAAGATGTAACTTTCTGTACAGTTGTTTCCACACCCACCGTCTCTGCTGCCTCTGTTATGGAATACGGTGGGGGTTCGTCGTATGGAGGCGGTGACTCRCTGACTGCTTTATTCACTTCACCCCTGAACCCAAGATATTGCGGCAAAACTGAATTATAATCAGTATCAAAGTAGTTTGGTAATTTAGGCAAGTGTGGAAGATTGACATCCACTTGTTGTAATTGTGAACGTCTTCTTCGCCGAGATCTGCGTTCTCGCTTCGCCGTTACGCGCTGAAGGGCGTACATTCCACACCCTAGAGCTCCGATAAGAAGCAGAATAGAGAAGACGATTCCAATGGCTGTTACTGCTAAGACACTTGATCGAGATCCTGGTGAAAACAAGACATCGTTATTATTAATGAATTCTCCTGATCTCATTAAGTTTAGTGTATCTTTCATTTAACCTTTTTTAAAGGTTTTTTTTAAGTTTTCCAGGATGGGGGCGGGAAGATTGTGGCGAAGAATGCATGTGTCTTTCTTTCTCTTCTGCTACAATTTTTCCCGCTCCGACCAGGTAGGAACGCCTGCAGAGTCTAATAGTGTTACAGCTCTTACGATAGTATTATCGTATGCATGTATCATCATCATCATCATCATCACTATCATCATCATCATGATGTATTATCATCACCATCATCATCATCACGTATCATCATTATCCGGTATCAACATCATTATCATCACTATCATCATCATCATTATCAGAAATCAACATCATCATCACCATCACTAACATCATCATCATTATGCGCGACATTAACATAGTATTAATATGAACAAGTATTCTTCTTTCATCAGTTGTCATCTTCACCTTCATTGTTACTCAAAATTATTAAAATGAATGGACATTTTCACAACTAAGGAAATTTTTCATATATCGCGGGGCCCGTCATTTCAGCATCTTTGTTTTTTACCCCCTGGCGGACACATAAAGCCTTGTGATTCAAGATGGCAACTGCATCGTTAATGTAGTCCATTCTTACCAGAAAAAGTTGGGAAAAAGCAAACGACTATCTGCTGGCTTTTATAAGACAAAAACGTGTGGTTGCCCTTCATTCGTGAATAAGATGAGGACCCGAATTCCACCAAGGCATTATTCCCTTTGGCATGAATATACTTATGCCTGAAKTCGCCGCAAAATTTTCCAATCCACTGTTGAGGGTTTTTAGTTCGCGAACTCCACACCTCGATGTAGTCACATGAGCAGTTGGGACAATCCATCAGCTTCAAGTCGTTGAAATCTAAAMTGATTTCTGTGTTTCTCGCTGACACTTGGATGTGCCACAGACATTTCTTGTTGGTCGTATTGATAGGACTTGTGATCGTGCCATAATCCATTGTTGTGTTAGTTATTTTACCACAATCTAGAAAAATAGAATTATATAACACGTGGCATGCATCCAATTGCAGAATAACTAAGCTTGCATGCAGATCAAGGATGTAAATCAAGGCGGATATTTTGAAAGKTTTTTTTGAAGAAAGGATGTAGGTTCCTGCAGCAACAAGTGCGATGGTCATGTGATTTACGATAACATTATTTATCTTTTTATCACCATCAACAACATGCACCATCCATTGAAATGCATTCACTTCAATAGCCATGTTTGTTACTATTGTCATCAACGCCATCACAATCATCAACACCATCGTCAACACCATCATCATCAACACCATCAACACCATTATCATCATCATCAACACCATCATCAACACAATCATCATCATCAACACCATCATCATCAACACCATCATCATCAACACCATCATCATCAACACCATCATCATCAACACCATCATCATCAACACCAACATCAACACCAAGCACCACCACCACCACCACTACCACCATCATCATCACAATCATCATCACTACCACCATCATCATCACCATCATCATCACCACCATCATCAACACCATCACTATCGTCATCATCAACACCATCATCATCACTACCACCATCATCAACACCCCCATCATTACCATCACCACCATCATCATCAACACCATCAACACTTCCACCATCGTCATCACCAAAATCATCAACACCATCATCACCATCAAAACCAAAATACATAACAACCATCATCATCGTGACCACCGCCTTCAGTTCATTATCATTATCATCATCAACATCCATTATAGCCAGAATCATACCTATGTAAGGCTYAGGTCAAACGTCGAACTTCACATGAGCCGAACCTAATSAAAACAATGGATAACRAGGCWGTCTTCTTTGATGTCATTAGGTTCGGCTCATGTGAAGTTCAACGTTTGACACGAGCATAAGTAAACATCATAACTAAGTACCTGCAGCTGTAGGCGAAGTTTGAGAAACAGGAACTTCAGATCCTCGATAAGAAAGAAACGTGTGATTACTCTTCATCCCTGACCAGTAACTGGATCCAAATTCCACCAGCAAATGATTTGTTTGTTTGATTTCAATATATTTATCCTTAAGATCGCCACAAAATTTYCCAACCCAGTGTCGAGGGTCTTTAGTTTGCGAGTTCCACACCTCGATATAGTCACACGAGCAATTAGTGCAATTTCTGAGATTCAGATCATGAATGCGTATCTGGAGCGACGTGTATTTAGGCGGAAGTTCGATATTCCATTGACAGCTCTTGTTGCTTGTATCGAGGGGGCTGGTGATTGTTCCGCTAAGTATCGACGTATTCGTTAGTTTACCGCAATCTACGAAACAAAAAAATAGTCACTATCATATATCGTCGGGACCAAGGGCGGATCCAGGAATTTGTTCAGGGAGGGGTGCACCCCTTAGAATCAAAGGGAAAAAACATTATTTTGTATTGGTTAAATATTTGAAGTAGGGGCAAAAAGTCGAACCAGGGAGGGGTGCGCACCCCCTACACCCCGCCTCTGGATCCGCCACTGGGTAATATAGTATAGTTGCACTCGACTCAGCTCGAGGGTATTGCTGGGTCTTAATCAGCTGCTCATGGAAAAGTCAATGAGAATCCTATTGMAAACTTGCAATTAATAGGCAGCTGATGAGCATTTCGCAGAGCAGAGTTTGCGAGGTCCCTCTCTTAAGGGGTTTTCTATGGGCTTTTGGTTTTCCGGCTCCCTTTGCAAAACCTWACACGCTACAGTACTTCCAATTCGATCTGGTGAGTTAGCCCAACCCTGACGTTTTATGTCTGCATAGTTTGCTATGTTACTTCATGATTTCTGTTTTGTTTTTTTTTAGTTCAACTCACCTGAAGCTGCAGCAACACTTGACGATACAATTATTACTGTGTACGAAGAGAGAAAAACAATTCATCAATACCCGCAAAAGAATACTCAGTTTTCAATAAATACCTGATAGGATTTAACATAAATAAACCATGAAGACCCGTTGATTTTATTTATTTATATTTTGTGTCATTTTATTGTAAATTGTCGTTTTGTTTTCTTGCCCTTTTCTTTATTTGATTGTTCAATTCTTTGTTCTTTTACGTCTTTATTCATTTTCCCCCCTAACATTTGCATATATCAGCAAAAAAACCTGTTTCTATTTCAATCTTCGATTTGAAATCTCAGTTACTTCAAAATTTAAAAGAAGAGCGAAACTCAAGTTTCAAGATTTATTCATTGATGTTGGACCGATTGCGTGCTAGTCTTCACATAGTTTATAACTATAACTTATGGCCTTCACGACCACTCTTCAAGCGCTACGATATCGTTGTCCTTAAAAATATCAGTAAAAATCCACGTTYCTCGACTTAATTAAAAATTCTCCAGAAAACAAGAAATAGCTTTTGAGGACACATCTATTTTCATCATTTTTTTCGTATAAWTTATGCGTTCTTCTATGTCTGAATATTTAAAATAACACGCAATGTTTTTCACGAAAGTGCTTCAGTGCGAAGAGAGATCATTGAAGTCGAACGGGATATTTTGTTTAGTAAAAATAAATATAATCTATATTTCATATCTCGCTCTATTATCAGAAGAAGAAAAAAACCTTACTTATTTTATTCCTAGCTAAATATTTTAATTATTACTATGCGGCCGAGTTATATTCACGGTCGATAAAAAATAAACAAAATGCATCAAAAGACTAAATTATTTTCATCGCTTTAAACTATATCAGTATCAGAGGTAATTTCGAAATAAGCTGAAATTCAGTGGTTAAATCCATAAAAAATTGTCACATACTAAGAATTTGATAATCATTCGTTGGAAGTACAATAAGAATTTTGTATTTTAAGCTTTCGGATAGACTTTCTTTCTTTTTATCGTAATAAGATCCAATGGATTATAACATAGAAACAAAGTTGCTATGTTATTATATAGTTCGAGTTCAGAAAAATTCTAAGTTTTGCCGAATTTTATCAATGCTGAAAGGCTGATATTAATAGATGTCATGATAAAAATATTGTATTTTTCTAGGATACGGGTTGACGTCATTCATTACTAAATACGTGACGAATATCGAAACATTTTCGAAAGAAAAACTACCTTGGTATTCTGTACTCAACATATTCAAATATTAAGAATAAAATCTTWAAAATATATACTAAACATATATATTAAACAAAAATAGACGTAGAAAGACATCGAAAGTTCAAATAAAATACGAATTCCGGTTTCAATGAAAAGGAAAAAAATTCCCGTATGAACTGAGTTTTGTTATATATTAACTCTTGTGTTTGCACAGTTGGCGTCCTTTAACTCAACATTTACATTCTTTTATAGCCAAGAATTTCTTAATTTAAAGCGTTGTCAGCGTTTAARACGTTTTATACTAAGGATTTTTTCAAATAAAGCGAAATTGAATGGCGCGAGCTGTCACACTTATCCTACTTAGTTTCTAGATAATACTGAAATTACTAAAAGAATTCTTACCGAGTAGAAAGCAATTTATCAGCTCCATGGCCGATTAGTTCTTCTCTTTGGTCCTTTGTTCTCAGTTTTCTTTCAAGACTTTCATTCAAAGGTGTTTCTAGATGTGTTGATATCGACTTTTAACCTAAGCGTGATAGACTAAAATATTGTCGTGACTGTAGTTCATWGTGATTAGATGGCGCGACTAATTAACTCAATAGTAACCAGGCCTGATATGTGAGACAAGTAGCGCTTGGACGCTTTATAAATGCCCTGGGCTTTAGTACAGGTTCTATTTCGCTTCCTGTGGTCGTAACTAGCACTTCCCGTCAAAACAGCAAACACTGGAGCGTGAATAAATAACCTATGGACTCCAGGGTACTTTTAAGTATTAAAATAAGGGGCTTTCGGAATATTTTAAAATATATATTTCTTAGGGACGTGTGCCGGCAACCTGAACGAAAGGTTTCGAAATTTTCACACAAGTTATTTATGTCATRTTAACAAGGAAGAGAAACAAATGAGGCTGTTGATAAGTCATGGCTGGCGGATTTCGCGTCAGTRCGTAAAAAGTCTCACTGTCCCCCATCGGTCATGTACGAGGACCTAGTAGGACCTAGTTTGTTAAATATTCCGTCTGAGATTCCGTTCATGATTCCTGCATGATTCCTCCCTGTTGTTCAATGTTATTATTTCCATCATCATCAGCAGCAGCAGCATCATTAGCAATATCATCAGCATTAGCATCATCATAACCACCATCAACACCATTATTTTTATTGYTGTATTTTAACCATTTATCAGTCTTCGATTTAGACCGGCTTCTTCAAAACAAAATGATTCATTTTCTAGGAGATACCGATTTTTCTAATTTCTTAGAAAAGCAGAGGTTGTTGAGCAATTCTCGCGGTATCGTGATCTTTCAAACATTATAATACTCTATTTTACAATTGACCACGAATAATAGCTTCATGTCCAGGTTGGAGTTTCCGYGCATCTGCAAAACTGCAGTTTCTCATGCGCGGCAACTCCAACCTCGTTAAAAATTTATTCGTGGTCACTGAACGGAACTATAAAATGGAGTATTGCCAAGGTACTAAAAGATTGCCACTAAAAAACTGAGCTTGAACCATTGCCACCCAGCTGTGTTATTATTTCATAACTGGGTTCACATTTGTCAATCGGGTTTTACTGGAATGATATTTTATAGAACTGTATGTGGGACTCCCTTAAGCGCGCTTCCGTCACTATCAAAAGAGAACACCATAGAAGTGTCACCATTCTCTAAAGGGACTACAAACACTCGTTCACTTGTCTCCTCATCTTCTGAAAAATAACCCTGGCTCGTGAAATTTTCATTGTCATCCACAAGAGAAATCTCGATCTCTGGGATGCTTTGCTTCTCCTCGTGTCCCGCGTTTGGTTCCACGGAATCGCCAACCTCTTCTACGTGAACAGTGGGAATTCGAAATGWGAGGGAATCTTGCTGGTCCAGGCGTTCGTGTTGGATTTTGTCTCGGTTCTTATCGGGAATCATTATATCATCCTGTTCTTGTATCATTTCAAAATGCAGGGATTTCACAGTAAAATTTTGTAAATCATCGTCATTATTAACATGCTGAACAGAGGTGTCATTTTCCTCACTTTCACTGTGAGACACATCAGTGTCCTTCCCGAATCCATTAAACATTCTCTTGTTTAATTTTTYATTTTGGTTTTCGCAGTTTAACACGCTCTTGATGTAGCTTCTGTTGACGCGACTTAATGATGATATTAATTCAGTTTCGCTGTCCGATTCCCTCGGCGTTGACCCTCGTCTTAGATGCGCCTGACCAATACGATACTCATCAGACGCGCCTCTTTGCATGTGCTTGCCAGAACTACCCAGAGGAGGCGAGGAAAATCTCTCATCTTCTGACTCATTCCTGCTCGATAAAAAAGCTTCATCAGCCGAATGAACTTCCGAAGTTTCGTAAATAGTACCATCGCTTTGTCTTCTTTTTGACTTTGGTGTCATTAGACCCATGAGTTCCATGGAAAGTTCTTGAAAGTTTGGGTTTCTTTCTTGTTTTGATGGAAGAGTACACAACGAGTGCCTCTTCTTGGGTTTTTCAGCATGACGTAGCTTCATTAGAGACATGTCCGTAAGAATTTGAAGCTGGTCTCGTTCTCTCTCAGCTTTTTGTCTCTTGTGGGCCATCCGTGAAATGGTTTCTTCTAGTCTCTCCACCTCGCAATTAGATTCATCAAGTCGGAAAACTAAATCTTCTTTTTCTTTCCGTACATTCTCGAGAAGATCTCTGATATCTCTTGCTTCAACACGAGCAGCGTCTCTCTCTTCTACCAGAGAGTCTCTCTGACGTACAACTTCATCCAGCTGTGATTTCATGTTTTGAACGGTCCGATCGCTTGTCGAGATGTACCTTTGGTATTTATTCTCCAGTTCTTTGAGTGAATCAGTTCTTTTCAGGGTGCTGCACTGAGATTCCTCATCCATTCCTACCGCCTTTAGTGACACTGCTAATTCATCTCTCTCTAGCATTGTCTCCTCAAGTAGTGTTTTGATTTCATGTATCGTACGCTCGCTCTCATACTTAAACAGAGTGAATTTCTCCTCGGCGAGTCTCTTGGCTTCTTCAGCAACGTACCTGGCATGATCCGCCTCGGAAGTTCTGTCRTTTGCTTCGTTAAGGCGACAGATAAATGTCCTCGTAATTAGCTCAACCTCCTTTAGACATTTCCTCTCGGCTTCCTGTACTTGTCTGAGAACCTCTTCCTTATCAGCTTCTGCACGAGCATGCAGGACTTTCGCCTTCAGGGCTTCGAGTTCCRCCATCTTGAGTCTTTCCATGACGTCGTCACTGGAATAACTCAGCCCATTCTTACCAGAAACCTTAGACAATTCGAACGAGGGTATTGATTGCTTCATGGTACTGGGTAGATCTTCCAATAAGTCGCCTGAGTTCAACGTGTGGTTGTGCATGTCTTTTAAAAAGGTTTCGTTGGATACTAGGGTCTCTTGAATGGTGTTCAAAACARCAGCTCCGTTGCTGGCACAAAAAGTACCTACGGAAATTAAAGACAATGGTAAACTTTCTGAATAATTTTTTTCTATATCATTCCATCTCCCTTTCCGATTTTAATTTCAGGATAACTGCCTGGCGGCTTGTGGTCAAACAACAGGATCGAGTCTGGGGTTTCTTTATAACTGTAACATCACCTTCCCATTTGCAGTTAATTTGTGATGTGCGTGTGTTTTGGGAATATGGCAGACAGTCCACTTGTAAGAGATCCTGGATAAATTCCAGGACTAAATCGCAGACATACGCAGGCACACTAACTTGTSTTTACCTTCTAATTCCAGGGAGTACGATGAAGCACTTGGAGTTGAATGCAGGCGGTTATTAGTGTTACATCTTTGTTGCAGCTGATCAAAGGTTGGACGAGATGTTGGATCCTGAAACAAGTAGGTAGAGTACATTTCAGTTGATTTTATAGAATAAATATCACTTGATGTCAATCTTGGAGGCCGCGAGGGCGTCGGAAATGCYGGAAAACAGAGGGATGAAAATAACGTGTCTTTGCATGCTATGAATATGGTCTTCTGTTCTTCCTACTTTTCTCCTTCACCGCGTGTCTCTCCTTCTACCTTCTTCTTCCATTCTTCTTCATTCCTTCTTCTACCTTCCTCCTTTCTCCTTCATTATTCCTTCTTCCTTCTTCCTCCTTCATTACTCCACGTTCGTCCTCCCTTCGTCCTCCTTTCTCCTTCATTATTCCTTCTTCCTTTTTCTCTTTCCACCTTCCTTCTTACTCTTTCCTTCTCCCTCGTTCATCCCCGAGAAATTTTCCTACCGTTCGAAGACACAAAGTCATTATGTCAGCAAAGCCATCCAAATAATCCAGAATATCCTCAATGTCTTGAAATTTCAACACCTGCATTGATCATAGGAAATTGAAAAGTATAAGCGATTGCCAAATTGCCAGTCTTAATAAAAATTAAAACACATACACACACACACACACACAAACACAAGTTTTACCTCGTCCACGCTCGCAATGGGTCGTTGGCCAGCGGTTATAATTGTGTACACCAACAAACCTGAAGAAAAAATAGTCGAATCTGAATTTTCAAACGATTCCAATTTTGGCATACGAATTACTCTTCTTKTCGTGTCCTTCCAACCCTCTATACGTTACAAGCCCGACCCGGGGTCCTACCATGGTCTCCAGGGTCAGTTTACTTAGAGGGATTAATGTAAGAATATACCCATTCATGCACCCCGTCCCTCACTTACCAAATGCCCAGACGTCGGATTTACTGGTTTGCTTGGTGTTGTCAAGTTCTGGTGCAGGTAG